GCCAAAATTTATGAGCACAATAGAAGTAAGTAGTGAGGTTGCCAAGACACCATTAGAGGTTGCCATTCCTTTAGGGGATATACTTAACACGAGTCATATAGTAAAGATAATAGGAGTATAAATTGATGGTAAGATTTTGGATATGAACTTGTACATCTTGAACATGCGTGAATTCGACATAATCTTGGGAATGGATTGGCTTTCAAAGAATCATGCCACGATTCTATACTTTGAAAGGGAAGTTATCTTTAGATGGCCTGGAGGAGTAGAACTTCGTCTTTCTGTGAACAAACCAAAACCCCTACCCAAAGTCATTTCTGCTTTAAAAGCCCGGAAACTTTTAAAGTCAGAGGGATGTATGGGGTTCTTGATGTCAGCACTGTCCAAAGAAGATAAAGCGCTGAGAATTGGTGACGTCAAAGTAGTAAAGGAATTTCCGGAAGTCTTTCCCGAGGACTTACCTGGAATGCCTCTAGAACGGAAGTAGAATTCACAATTGATTTGACTCCTGGTTCTGCTCCTATCTCGGAAGCTCCCTACAGGATGGCACCAAAGGAATTGTAGGAATTGAAAACCCAAATCGAGGAATTACTGGGAAAGGGCTTTATAAGACCCAGTGTGTCGCCTTGGGGAGCGCCAGTGTTGTTCGTTAAGAAGAAAGACGGATCTATGAGGATGTACATCGACTACCGTGAATTGAATAGGATCACCATCAAAAATAAGTATCCACTTCCTAGAATTGAGGATCTATTTGATCAACTACGAGGTGCAACAGTATTCTCAAAGATCGATTTAAGGTCGGGATACCATCAGATGAGGATAAAAGCTAATGATATTTCGAAGACGGCCTTTAGAACTCGGTACGGTCATTATGAGTTCTTAGTTATGCCTTTTGGCCTCACTAATGCCCTAGGAGTATTCATGGACTTGATGAATCGAGTATTCCACGAATACCTGGATCGATTTGTCATCGTGTTCATCGATGATATATTGATCTACTCAAAGACTGAAAGGGAACATGAAGAACATTTGGGAATTGTGTTACAAATTCTAAAGAGGGAGAAACTTTATGCCAAATTTACAAAGTGCGAGTTTTGGTTAGAACGGGTTGTATTTTTGGGACACGTGGTCACAGCTCAAAGAATTGAAGTGGACCCCGTAAAGTAGAAGCAGTGTTAAATTGGTCGAGACCAACCAATGTGGGAGAAGTTCGCAGCTTTTTGGGTTTAGCCGGATACTACAGAAGATTTATAGAAAAATTCTCAAAAATATCGGGACCCTTGACTCAGTTGACACGTAAGGGTACGAAATTTGAATGGACTGAGAAATGCGAATATAGTTTCGAAGAACTGAAGAAGAGACTAGTGAACGCGCCAGTGCTAACTGTACCTGAAGGATAAGAAGATTTCGATATATACAGTGATGCATCCAAACAAGACTTGGGTTGTGTTTTGATGCAACAAGGCAAGGTGCCTATGCATCCAGACAATTGAAACCTTATGAACAGAACTACCCCACACATGATTTAGAACTTGCAGCAGTTGTACACGCTTTTAAAATTTGGAGACATTACCTATATAGGGGTAAATGCGACATTTATACCGATCATAAAAGCCTTAAATATATTTTCACCCAAAAAGAGTTGAATATGAGACAGATGAGGTGGCTTGAATTGATAAAAGATTATGATTGTGAAATTCATTACCACCCAGGCAAGGCGAACGTAGTGGCAAATGCCTTGAGTAGGAAGGCCACGGGCAAGTTGGCAATACTAACAGCGTAGGAACCTCTACATAGGGAATTTGAGAGATTAAGTCTCGAAATAGTCACAACTCCATCAGAAACTGCAGCCTGAATGAAAGCACTCTCGATTCGATCGACACTCCATGATAGAATTAAGGACCATCAAAAGGGCGATCAGTCATTTGAATTTATTAAAGCCGAGATTGCTACAGAGAAACGGAAAGGATTTACCTTAACCGAGGATAAAACGTTGTACTACCAGAAACGCTTATGTGTACCAAATTCCGAGGAATTGAAAAAGGAGATTCTAGAAGAAGCCCACACCACTCCTTATTCAATACACCCAGGAAGTACAAAGATGTATCGTGATTTAAAATCTATATTCTGGTGGAAGAATATGAAGAAGGACATAGTTGAATTCGTTGAGAAGTGCCTTATATGTCAACAAGTGAAAGCCGAACATCAATGACCATCAGGGTTGCTACAACCGTTGGAAGTTCCGGAATGGAAATGGGAGCACGTAACAATGGATTTTGTTGTTGGTTTTCCAAAGTCAGTGAAGGGTCATGAGGCCATTTGGGTAATAGTCGATAGATTGACAAAATCAGCTCACTTTTTACCTGTCTGAATGACCTTTTTTATGGACCAATTAGCACAATTATATGTTAACGAAGTAGTGAGACTTCATGGTGTTCCAGTCTCAATTGTATAAGATAGAGACCCAAGGTTTACATCCAACTTCTGGAAAAGCCTGCATCGGGCAATGGGAACTAAGCTAAAGTTTAATACAACATTTCACCCCCAAACGGATGGACAATCGGAGCGAACTATCCAAACCCTAGAAGACATGCTCCGGCTTTGTGTCTTAGAATTCGGAGGGCATTGGGAGAAATATTTGCCATTAATTGAATTCGCTTACAACAATAGTTACCATGCATCTATTGAGATGTCACCTTATGAAGCCTTATATGGAAGAAAGTGCAGATCACCCGTTCATTGGGATGAAATTGGTGAGCGTAAAATATTAGGGCCTGAAATTGTGGAACGAACAGTTCAGGCCATTGAAAAAATCCGAGCTAGTATTAAGACCGCCCAAGACAGACAGAAGAGCTATGCAGATAGGAGGCAAAAGGACCTAGAATTTACAATTGGTGATTATGTATTTTTGAAAGTCACTCCAATGAAAGGTATCCTACGTTTCGGTAAGAAAGGAAAACTCCGACCGAGGTACATCGGACCCTTCGAGATACTCAAACGAGTTGGAAATGTGGCATATCAACTAGCTTTGCCACCAGAGCTTTCTGCAGTGCATGATGTCTTTCATGTGTGTACACTCAAGAAATACGTCCCAGACCCGAGTCATGTAGTGAAGCATGAACCATTGAAGGTCCAACCGAATCTGAGCTATGAGGAAGTCCTGCTTTACGTTATAGCCCAGAAGGTACAAAAACTTCATAACAAGGAAATACCACTGGTCAAGGTATTATGGCAACATCATTCAATCGAAGAAGCAACTTGGGAACGCGAGGATGAAATGCGGACCAAATATCCCCCACTATTTGGCGAGGACGACTAAGGTAATTTTCGAGGACGAAAATTTTGTTAAGATGGGTAGATTGCAATAACCCGAAAATTCCTACTTGACATTAACCTAAGTATAGGGACTAGATTGTTGATAACCATAGTTTAAGGACCATTTTATATAGAGACTAAGGTTTAGGGGTCAAGTTTTACATCCGTCCTTAGATGAGGGACAAATACCATTTTATGAAAACCTTCCTTTTATTAATTATGGAAACTTCCTTATGAAACCTTTCCATTTATTTATTATGGAAACTTTCCTTATGAAAACCTT